ATACTCCAGACACAATAGTCCAACGGTATCCGGAGATTTTGATGGCCATTGTGCGCTGGAAATGAAGCGAGGAACCTCATTTTGTAACTATTCTTGGGTGGCGCGTGCTTTGTGCGATGGTGTTAAGTCCTTTTGAAATGTCCAAGGTCTGCGGGCAAAATGTTTGCGTACCCATAGCTTTAATACATCCTCCAGAATATTTTCGCGCTAACATTCGGAATTTATACTGATGCCAAGGTCTATTAATACGAGCGGAGAGCGACCATCGGCTGTTATGGCGGCCCACACCATCGCCATGACCGGCGCTTGAGTTCTGGTGCCCAACCTAAGGTGCACATTTTCAGCTGACCTCTTTGGCAACTAAACACAATCATTTTGTTTGTTTACAAATTGCTGGACAACGAATGTTTTCTCATCGGAGACGGAGAAAACCAAACTCGGCAGTTCGCCACTATCGACCAAGCGAAGCAACTCTTAAGCTCTTTTGAGTCTTTCTGTTGCGGTGTAAGTTCTTGGAATTTCAATGGCTTTTCAACGAGCTCATTTTTCAATATTTGCCCATTTTTCAATATTTGCGAGCCATTTTTCGGCCACTGCGACCCGGGTTTCGATCAAGTCATTTCTTTACTTTTCGAACCATTTCTGCCGATGTTGCAGTTTTCTTCCGTCCGCTTTCATGGCGTCAGACCAGTATCACGGTACGAGACACAAAAGATTTATTCACATTTAAATGCTGGAGTGTTCTAACGATAGCCACTTGTGGTTTTCCAGCCAAATATAAAGAAAACACAATATCACGCTTGAATTCCATCACGAATAACTTTTTTTCTGGAAAATTCTCAACAAAATGCTTTTGTATGCTTGGTAACAATATAATGAGTTGTCACTGGAATAATTTTAACAGCTGTCGGACGAGTGGCCTAGAAATGACAGCAGTCTGAAGTTGGTTGTAGTTTTTTTATCTCACCCTGTACTTTTTTAACTACTATTTATTGATTACAAATTGAATAACTTGTCCCAAATCCTCATATAAACCTTTATTTTCTAAAAACAAAACAAAATTATACATTCTTCTTAATTAATCACACATTTGATATAACAAATTGACCAATTATTAATACTAAATTAATAATTACATGATATATCAGCTCTCAATTGCTGAAGTAGTTATTACGTGTATGAATGTGTATGTGCGCTATTGTTTTTTTGTCTGCGAGTATCGAAATTTCAACTCAAGCGTAAGCCTTGAGTTATTAATTCAAAAACCCCCAAAAACAAACACACTTGAACAATCGCTCCACGCTGCTACAGCCACAATTTTTAACTCAAGGTAATTAAAACCTAACCCAAAAAAAAACAAAATTAGAAATAAAAATAAAGTCAGCCAATAGCCAGGGCTTAATGAAGATCAAAAAAGATGAAGAAAACTGATAAAACACTTAAACTATTATGGTTTCAATGCATAACAGAAAAATTACAATTGTAATTTTGTAGTTAACACGAAGGTCTTATTATTTTAGAAATATTAATTGATTTTTGAAGGCAGAATGCTTCAAAAAATTTAGGACCTTTTTAAGGTTCTTATAGAAAAATTAAATTTCTAGTGTCTTTAGTATAGTCTTTCTTTTTTGGAAGACTTCCTGCGCGGTCCTCTCAAAGATCTTCTCTCAGTAGAAGGCCTTGTATTGTTCTTCTTTATTAAAATACTCATTTAGAGAACTTCAAAAATAATATCGAAAATAAATCGCCTATTTAATTTCAACATTTGAACACTTTTAAAGAAAATAGTCCAATACCAGTAATTTCTAAATTAGCGAGGCGACTAGTATGGAACCCTAAATTACAATTTATATGCATGTCTAGAGACTCCCTAACTCTGGGGTATAATACGACGTGTCAACCACTGCTCAAGGCTTGTAGCTTGCAACGAAGAATTGCGTAGACCTGGGAGGCTTGGCGAATAACAGACTTGATTGCCTCGCTCGTTTAAAAATTAAAAAATCGACTTTAAAACAACAATAAAACTCTCCAATAATTTGATGGTCCTAAAATTAGTTTAAAACTTTGGGCCAAAGCCGCTCAAAACGTGGAAGGAAACATCAAAATACCCAGTGCTGAGATGTACAGGGTAAGAAGAAAGAACCGCAACCAACTTAAGACTGCTGTCATTTCTAAGCCACTCGTCCGGCAGCTAAATTTTTCTAGTGACAGCTCATTATATTATTTACAAACGTACAAAAGCATTTTGGTGAGAATTTTCCAGAAAAAGTTATTCGTGATGGAATTCAAGGGTGATAGTGGATTTCTTTATATTTGGCTGGAAAACCATAGATGGCTATCGTTAGAGCACTGCAGCATTTACATGTGAATAAGTCTATTGTGTTCGTACCATCGCTCGTTACCGTGATAATGGCAGTGTAGCCCAACATCAGCAGAAATGGTTCGAAAAGTAAAGTAGCGACTTGATCGAAACCCCACGTCGCAGTGACCGAAAAATGGCTCGTGAGTGTGAGCATATCGCAATATTCCATTCGGCAAATATTGAAAAAAGAGGTCGGGGTGAGGCCATTGAAATTCCACAAAATGCAAGAAGTTACACCGCAACAGAAAGAAAATAAACTCAACAGAGCTAAAGAGTTGCTTCGCTTGGCCGAAAGTGGTGAACTGCCGAATTTGAATTTCTCTGTCTCCGATGAGAAAACATTCGTTGCCCAGCAGTTTGTAAACAAACAAAATGATCGGGTTTACTTGCCAAAGAGGTCAGCTGAAAATATGCACCTTCGGTTGGCCAGCAGAACTCAACCGCCGACCATTGTGATGGTGTGGGCCGCCATAACAGCCAATGGTCGCTCTCCGCTCCTATTAATCGACCATGACATCAGAATAAATGCCGAATATTATCGCGAAAATATTCTGGAGGGGATATTAAAGCCTTGGGACGCAAATATTTTGGCCGCAGACCTTGGACATTCCAACAGGACTCAGCACCATCGGACAGGACTCAGCACGCGCCACCTAAGAATTGTTACAAAATGAGGTTCCTCGCTTCATTTTCAGCGCCAAAATACCGCAGAGCAACATTCGGGCAGCGTGTAACGGTTTCATTGGCCATTTGAAGGCCACAATTCGTGCCTCAATTCGAACAAATCTAAACTTATTCTAAAATGTTATGCTATTTCCGACATTTTTTGCATTCATTCAATAAAATTAAAAAAATTATGGCATTTGACTTTGTTGCAGTTTTTATACCCTCCACCATACTATGGAGTGTATATTAACTTTGTCATTCCGTTTGTAACTCCTCGAAATACTCATGTCAGACTCAACAAAGTGTATATATTCTTGATCAGCGTAAACTTCAAAGTCAGTAGGCAGGTTAAATTCGTAAATGGGCCATGTCCCTCCCTATAATCGGTATTTTGATGTTTTTAGCGACATTATTTACCGGAACTATTTCAAATTTAGTATTTAAAGTTTGTATTGGATACTACAGCCTATGCCAGAAAATTGTCCGTGTAGGTCCACGTTTTCATATAGCCTCATATAACGGTACCTCCCTATATTCAGTATTTTGATGATTTTAGCGAGATTATTTAACGGAATTGTTTCAAATTTCGTATTTGAAGTTCGTAACGGATACTACAGCCTATGACAGAAAATTGTCTGTGCAGGTCCACGTCTTCGTATAGTCCCCATATAAAGGTACCCCCGATATTCGATATTTTGATGATTTTAGCGACATTATTTAACGGGATTGTTTCAAATTTTGGTATTTGGAGTTCGTAATGGATACTACAGCCTATGAAAAAATTTTCTGTGCGGGTCCACGTTTTGGTATAACCTCCATGGTACCTCCATATATTCGGCATTTTGGCATGATTTTAGCCATATATAAAAAACTTTTTTTTCAAATTTCGCATTTGAATATTGTAATAGCCTTTATGACAAAAGTTGAATATGCAGGTTCAGACAATTCCGTAAAAATGTCGTCGTACTTGTATCAATCAATAATATGTTAATAACCTCTATAATTTCTGGAGGGGAGGATTTATAAATTGGAAAAAAGTAATGATAAAAACTACATTACAATACAGGTATTGAGAACATGAAATTGATGGGACTGCTATTAATGGAATTTATCTAGGGGTTTTATAAAGTTAAAATTATTCGTAAATATCTTTTCTGGGTAGCGGAAAATTTGGACGTGCTTCTATATATTAAAGACCATCTAAACATAGAAAAATTCAAAAAAGCATTTTATACCACGAAGGATGCCTTCCTTTGAAAAAAGGATCTATAACCAGTATAGTTTAAAAAATAATAATATTTAAGATTTTAGATTTATTTATAGAAAAAATTGCCCGTCATTTGTGGTTTTTTTTTCTTTCTCCTTTCCCTAACGTTTTAAATTGACCCACATAACTAAATTATGACAAGTCTGAGTTCATACCAATTTTAATAAGTTCCTGGTAAACAAAATTCCACATTAATTTTTATTCATAACAATAACAATAAAAAGATGTCACCTGTTGAGAAACTCTTCATTTGTTATGTGAGCTACTATTCCCAGAGATAATAAATTACCATCCTTCATTGGTGTAAAAAGCGTGTAAAGAAATTAAATTCAGTCGCCCCTAGGCTGAGTAACCGACAAGTGTTGCTTTGGGTGCATAGCCACAATTTTAATTAACGGTGCTAAACCTGAATAACAATCATCGAAAGAAGAAATTAAACAAAAAAAAAAAAACTCAAAAAAAAAACTCAAAAAAAAAAAACTAGACGAAAAGTTTAACCGAAATGGGTAATATACACAAATAATTTACATAATCGTGAGGCATGGAAGTGTTATAAACCAAAGTACCGACAATTGGCAACCAAAAACCCAGTGGCAATCAAATAAATTCCCATGAGTTAGAAAAAAAATAAAAAGAACACTCATTCCAATTGGGTTTCACATTCGAAACACTTTTTTTGCAGAAAGAGGCAGAGAGAGAAAGGCATGAATGATAGCCTAGTGCAATGCAACAGCCATTCATCCAGCCAACGATCCATTAACTAGTCATGATGGTGTGTTTCTTCAGTTAGACAATGGAATTTATCTGTTTTTCTTTAACGGCTTTTGTGTGAAATGCAACCAACGGTGTGGCTCAAAAGAAAATATGGTAGTACTACCAACGAAAACGTTGTCACAACATAAACGCCGAAGACGGCTTTGAAAGAAACAAACAAAAAAAAAATGCTGTTAATTTTTGTTTTCGAAACACGAGAGAGAGAGGTTCATGGCTAATAAAATCCGATTCATCACTTTAGTTGGGCATTTGTTTTCAAGGTGGTCGGTTCGTGTCGGATACGTGCGTTCAATAAATCGGTAGCAGTGCGCGCATGAGCTGTAATAGACAATTTACAAAACATAACGGATTAACTTCCATTGATAAATAAATAATAAACAAAAATATTAAGAAAAGACACGAAGGTTCGCAGCAAGCTACCGCTCAAATATTGCAACAACAACAACAACAGCAACACCAAAAGCTTTAAAAGAAAACAAAACTTAACAAACTAGCATGTGCTGTTGAAGATGGTAAAAACCTGGACTTTTTGAGCAAAAAATAATCATTTTAATCAATAAGAGAACAAGAGAAAAAGAGAGGGAGTCAGAAGAGTGTAACAGAGAGCGATTTTTCTTTTTGGCCAAAAAACAACAACTGCAAAGAAAGAGGTCGTCTTGGAACGTGAGTTTAAGAATATGCGCCACCATAATCGAGCTGAAAGAAAAAACTTTCCACAATATGGGACAAGCTAAACAAAAGCCAACAAAAGAATTTTTGTTGTATTTTTAGCTTTTGGTAACAAAACAAAAAAAATGGCCTATAACAAGTTTATTCGAAAGTGCAATTTCTTTTCACACAACCAAAAAAAAAAAAAACACCCGAGCAAAACTCAGACAAGATCTAAACCTCATAACCACCACCACCACACCTACTGCTTCTTTGTTTTTCTTGGCTGAAACACAGACAAAATCAAGGGGTCTTGTTTTTATTTTAAAGCCGGATCACCACAAATAAATTGGATAGCATTATTTCAGCTGGTGGTGATTTGATTTCAAATAAACAATGGAACAGAGCTGTTTCTTTGATGATTTTCGGATGTTATGACAAAATAGGCATCATTCGATGTTAATGAAGACATCTATTATATAATCGTCTTACAGCAACAAATGGTCACATAAACAAATCATTTGTTTTTTGCTTAAAGATCATAATCATCATCAACATAAAATTATTATAAAACAAACAAAAAAACGAAAAATTTGTTTCGGCACTTTTAAAGAAATAGAAAATACACCTACGTCTCGTTTTATGTTGTTGGATTAGAGAAGAAAACAGCCGACCAGCATGATTAGATTAGATTTTTAATCGGATACGATATTTTAGGTACTTGCGTACTTGTGTTGAGTGAAATGAATAAACAATGCAGCCATAGATTTACAGAAGAAGAAACAGAAACGAGCACTCGCTATGCGAGTGTCCAATGATTTTCAATAGAAGACTTAGGCTAAGGGGAGAGCAAAGAATCCACGATCGGAACTCCTTTCTGTTTGGCTTTCTTTAATCTAATATTTTCTTCAATCTCTTTGAAGCCCTCTCTTTCAGATTGGACACAATCGGTATAAGGGGAGTAGTTGCCATGTTATGCAATTAGGCGTCTTTTAACCTATCCTTATTGAAATGTGTTCTGGGAATGCGTGAAACTCGTTGAAGATAATGATAACGATAAAATCACATAGCGACGATACTGAAAAACTCATCATTCCAAGAAATATTACCATGTCCTGGAGCTTGATGTGACTTAATTTTTTTAAATGCATTCCGTCACTCCAAAACTGCCATAGATTAAATGATATACATACATACATTTATTGACTTCAGGACTTCAGCTTGACTATTGATATATATAGTCGCCGTACCGTTATGTTCACTATTTCTGTTTCCCAACAGATCTATTGATCCATTCTTACAGGAGGAGGTTTCCGAACAAAATAAACAAATAAAAAACAGTTAAATTCGGTCCCGTCGAATTCCGCTATTTGGAAATTAACACTTCTGAAAATATCTCTATTAATGACGGGTTCAAATTACGACTTGAGGGGATGCTTCCTATTACGATACTCAAATATGTGTATAAAATTATAAAAATTCAATATGTCTGGAGTTTCCGTTACATGAGGCTTTGCCAAAACGTAGGTCTGATTGGAAAGTCTCCTGTAATAAGATATGTGTATCCATTTACAACTCTAAATTTCAAATCTAAATCAATTCGATTGAAAAACATAGTTTAAATTGTCAAAATGCGGAATGTCTGAAAGTACCATAGTTATATGGGGGCTACAGAAAAATGGGAACTCACGTAGAAACTTTTTTGCCAAATATTGCAGTGTTAGTTTAGAAATTAACTATCAAACTTCAAATAATTTCGTTTGAAAATGTTCCGAAAGCCATCAAAATACCGAATATCGGAATGTACCCTTATATGGAGGGCTATAAGAAACCATAGAGGCTATAAAACTTTTCTGGAAGACCAAATTTTAAACAATTCTGTTAAAAACTTGTCTAAAATCATCAAAATATTGAATATCGGGATGCACTTTTCTATGTAGGCTTTACGAAAACTTACACCTTCTGTACTACGTACGGTGTAGGACATTAAACCATATATAAAATGTAATGCCGCTCAAAAGAAATAGGCCCAAATCTTATTTTGTAAACTAGTAAAACAAAATGATTTAAAACCTAATAACTAAAATATATGATTTTTAACAGTTCCGTGCCAATAATTAACTATAAAAAGCAATTGCCAGCAATGCATAGTTGATTACGTTTTACAAAACCCCATAAAAAAGGATATTATCAAGCAAAATATGTCTGCAATATCAGACGACACTTGTCAACGAAGTCTTTGCTTTAACATTAACAACAGCAACAATAACAAAAAGAAAAAACTCCTTCAATATTGCCACCAGTTTCCAGTACTTTCATGCCAACAACAAATATGCAGCAATGCTGTTCGGTTTGCAAGAAATGGTAAAAGTTATGACAACAGCAGTAATAGCAAAAGAAACGGCAACAAAATTAGATGGAGCTTGGGTTGGTGGTGTCTATTAGCCACACACTTGTTTATTGCCAATCCAGCGTTTGCACAGCCACCACCACCACCAACACCTCTTGACGAGGGTCTATATCTGCAGCAGCAGCAGCCGCAGCTCACCAATGCCAATAACATTTACAAGATCTATAACAGAGATACAATTGTCCAACAATCCACTGAAAACTTGGCCAACGAAAATCTAACATCACCACAAAATAAAGGACGTCGTCAATATGCGGCAGCATTGCAAGATATTGATAAAGAAGTAGGTATGATTCGGTATCCATGCATTCAAGTGTTTATGAACAAAATTTTAATTTAAATACATTAATCTGCAAAGCAACGACAACAACAACAACAAGAAAGAAATAACACAAAAAAGCATTGCGTGAAAGTGAAATTTATTTTGATTTTCGTCGTCGTTACTCTTCTGTTGACCACTCAGTTGGCCAGACAGCCAGCAGGCCAACTAACCACCAACCAACCAGTCACTCAGACATCCATCCACACAATATGCATGACAGTATTTTTATTATGATTATTTTTCGGGTTTTATTTGAGGTGCTCTTTTTTTCACATTACAAATACAACGACTTGTTAATTGATGTCCATAAATAGAGCTAAACACAAAATCAGACCAAGTAAATTATAATTTAGAAACAAGTTTTGTTTCTTTTTCAAATATTGTTTCTTCTTTCAAGTTGTGCAGTGTGAAATTGAAAATAGGTCAAGCAAACGTTTCCAAATGTACATACATATGTGCTGTAATCGTATTTAAGAAACAAACAATGTTGACCCAAACAAGTAAAAAAATAATTATGAAATGTAATATTAAATAATTGCAACTTTTATTACCAATTGTTTGGATTAAAATTTATGTTGCCAGATTTAATGAAAGAAATAATGATAAATTACCTTTGGCCCCAATGCAAGACGTTAATAGCTACGTCCGATTTAAACTTTTATCTTTTATTATGGGAAGATCAAATCTTACCACTATCCATTTGGAAACTCAACATTAGTACTTTTGCAAAGTTCCACAACAACAGGATATCTTTAGCAACTTTCTACACTCTACTGTGAGGAGTTGGTATGATAGTCTTCTTAAACGGCCTCTGGTCCATTAAAATATTAAAAGCAATTATAAATGCTATGTGATGCATAAATTACAAAGCATTAGTCACAGAGACCGTGAGTCGTACATTTCGAAAAAGCTGTTGCAACAACTTGAATATGTAAAACGAAACTTGACAATGTTAAAAATTGCGCCCATTGAGACATCTTGAAATTTATCAGACATTTGAAAAGGGGAGCATTTATCCTTCTACGTTTACATATTAATCCTTTTATGGAACAAAACTTGAGTTCTGTATTCAAAGTGCAGAACCTATTAATTTATTCAACTAATAGCCAATTAGAACTTCCTTAGCTAGGGCTTCTCACAAGTAAAAAAGGAATGTCTTGACACGCCAAAAATACCGAATATCAGAAGGTTATATAACATGTTTAAAATATTGGAAGATACTCTTATATAAAAGGTGGACCGATTGATTTGTCTTCGAATTTGATTTCAGGTGAGATTAAATATAAATTTCAGCTATTTCAACGCCAAATTTAGAGCAAAAACAAGTGAAAAACATTAAGATTGGCCGGGCCGAACATTAAATACCCTCCACCTTTGGGTAAAGAAAACGTTATAATATAAAAGTATGTGAATTCAAACGTGTTCCACTTTAAACTACACATACCAGTAAGACCGCTTGGATAGTGGTGGTCAACTTAAAAAAACCCTAATGTAGGTGAGCCCGTTGTTTGAAGGCCATACCAAAACGGGAGCCTCAATAGACATTTTTATACTTCTATATATTATATATATTATCACCTTCCAAATATCTTTAATACCAAGTTTAAAACAATTTCGTGGGTGGTAGACCTAAATATTCAATTTTCTGCCACCGGAGCTAGAACCCATTATGACCTACAATTACCAATTTTTAAAAATAATCAAAATACCGAATTTCAGGAGGTAACGTTATATGGGGGCTATACATAAAAGTGGACCTATAATGTAAAAAAATGTTTTCAACACATTTTTTAAGAATTTGTCTAGAAGTTGGTATTTGTAGTTCGCAATAGATTCTAGCTCCAGAGGCGGAACATAGTATACATTGGTCCACTTTTTTTCATAAAAATACCGAATATCGGGAGGTTCCGTTATATGACGACTATACTAAAATGTAGACTGATATAGGTCATTTTCAATACCAACCATCCTGGACACAATACAAATTGTTCTGCCCAAGTTTTAGGATCTACGTCAAATAATGTGGACTGTATCGCGATTTTAACAGACTTTTATACTTTATGGGATCTATGACGAATTTCTAGGGGCGTTACAAAAGGAATGACAAAGTTAAAGGTGGAGGGTATAAAAAAACACCCAAATACCAAATAAAGGCTGGTACCGTTGTGTGAGAGCTATACGAAAAAGTTAAGACCATACGACATAGTGGAGTCATCTTCGAATCTAATATAAATTTTAATTCCCTATCACAATTTCTAAAGAAGATAGCGTGATTACAACAGACAGAGTGAGTTCCATAAATATTTCGGGAGATTCAGATTAATATACCCTCATATGACGGCAGATATTTAAAAATGATAAAACAGGCAATAATATATTTTTAAATGCAATATTTCAGACCATTTGATATGAGAATGTGTCTGAGGTCCTACAAAATATCAAACTTCAGGGCTTTGTCAAAACGGTGAGCTACATTCAATTTTTAGCTCGGCAAACTGTAGCTAAATCCGAAGAGATGCATTTTTTTTGAGATCCAAATAAAATATTTTTTATTATTTGTATTTCAAGGGTCAGACGTGGTTAAAGCTTCTTAGAATGTTATGCATTTTTAAAAAAGCACGACTATTTAAAAAGATAGACGTTATGGACCATAAATTAAAAAATACATATATCTTTTAATTTGTATTCCCTTCATTAGTGGAACGCCTTATCAGGCAATGGGCACCTGTGGTATGGCTGGCGCCTGAAGAGAAATTCATGCCGCTGGGAGTAGAGGAATTCTTGGCCCATGTGCATCCCGAGAGCAAGGACAACTCATTCACACCGGGTATATCATTTGGAGAGAACTCTGAGAAATCATATTTGGTGACAAATGCAGAAATTGGTGGGTATTAAACAGCGACAACATTACAATAAATATCCAACATCCATTACATTCCCCATTTTCAGATCAACTGCTGGAAAATGAAACATCATTTATATATGGACGTAATCCAAATGTATCACCAGTACCCATATATGCTGTGGTCACATTGTGCAATACGGAACAATTGCCTTTGCCGCAATCACCCAATAACAATCAAAACATAAATATACAACAGCTTCCCTTAAACTATGCTCCACCAGTTCTGCCTCCGGGACCACCCTCGGTTCCCTTAGCTGTAGTACAACAACAGCAACAAAGATATGCTCCACCACATCCCCCAGAAATAACTAAAGCCACACGTGGACCTTATATCCCCGTCACCTTGGGACCACAAGATCAATTTAATAACACCATAAGGCGTTCTTCTCGTCTGTATCCCCTTTTCAAGCGGACAAGGCGTAACATTACTCCGGTATATCCCAACAACTTGGCCACACCACAGTTACCAATTACACCATTTGATTTGGTAATGGGAGAAAGTGCACCAGTACCAGAACTATTAACAGCCACAATGCCGCCAACAAGAGATTCCGATACCACTGATGACACAGAGAATGTTAACAATTTTATTGCCAACTTATCGGATAATGTTAAATTCAGCATACCCTTTAATGACCAGGAGAATATTTTGGACAATGAAAATAAGCAGCAAACATTTGCCTATAGGGAAGGTACACCGGTGCCATCCTTTCATGTTACATACTGGATGTTCTATCCATATAGCCAAGGGAAAAATATGTGCACATTGAAATTGGGACCATTTGGTCGTATACCATTTCCGGCAGTCTATGGCTACTGTTTGGGACGCAAAAAGGATATTGGCAGTCACATTGGGGACTGGGAGCATATGACATTGTATTTTACGGGAGCTGCGGAGCCTGAGGCCATGTATGTCTCGGCTCATGATGCAGGGGCCTACTACACATATAATCGTCTGACAGGTTCGTTTGAATTCAAAAGACAAGAGACGAGAAAGGGTATCTTGCAAAGGCCGAATTTTCCCAAAACAGTTACAACTTTTAATGATCATCCTGTGTTGTTTGCAGCAAAGGTAAACCGAGGCAATTTGGATAAAATAATTATTTTAAAATCTAATTCCATTCCGTAGGGTTCTCATGGTCTATGGACTGCGCCAGGCAAACATCGCTTTGTCAAGGTGGCTCGTTTGTATGACATAAATGGCTTTGGTACACCTTGGAATACATGGAAAAGTGTAACAATCACCTATGAAAATTTGAAATCATATGGTACGACTAAGTAGGTCCTTTTGTAATAGTATATGATTGTAATTTATCTTTTTCCTTAGGACGTTCGTTGGCTCCCACTTGGCTTTCATTCAAAGGCAAGTGGGGTAATCCGAAGAGTAAATGTCATCCCTTGAGACGTATTGGTTTGAACTTTTGCGAGTACACAGACGGACCCACTGGTATACCATTGAAGGAGCCACATTTTCAATGCGGTGCCTCCTATAGACGATAACGACATGAAGTTTATGTTTTAAGGAGTATAACAGTATTTCAATTTGTTACTGCATAAGTTTTGGGTGGTATTTATTTATTCTAGACAATTACTATTATATTGTTCAACTGTTCTGTTATTTGGAAAATTGTTGATAATAAAAATAATATTTTTACACATTTTTTATAAATGAAAAGAAATTTTGGAGTGTACAGTGGATTGAAGTTTTCCATAAACGTACAATTGATTGCAGACTTTATACAAGAAGTGATGAAAAGAGATTATGACTGACAAATCATTTGCATTTCACTTCAGTTCTTTGGTAGCCAACAATTACGCTGAAGTGGAATCACTCTCTATTCTTAGTTACGCTCTGGACAATGCTATTTATTTTAGTATAGCTGCAGGGAATTAAGAGAATATAGTCGTCAAGGTAAGCAATTCAAATAAACAATTTGAAATATCGTTAAGCTGACCGGACTAAACTTTCCATAACGTTTACCATTTGGAAAACTGAAATTTTACACAAATGGTTTGAAAAATGTTGCTAAGACCTTGAAATATTTTAAGTTAACGTTACTACTCTCTAGTTCGGAGCCACTCTTTGGGTATATGTCAAAACGTGGACATATTGGAATATCGAAAGCCATATTCGCCATTACTAGATTGAATTTAGGTAGGGTAATATTAAATCGTTTGAGTCTCATATGAGAAAGCTACGAAAGTTTACTCTTAAATCCCTCAAATGTAAGAATTGATGTCAAAAAAAAAAAAAAAATAAATCATCTTTCAGTTGACGCTGGTGAGGACAACTTGGCATCCTCAGTCAGACACAAGTACGAAGTTTACTTCCACCTCAACAAAAATGATTCTTAGATCGAACATTCAGAGTCGTCTGCAATGCTCTGAGACTGAACCTAATAAGCGATAGTGTAAACAGACAGCGGATAACAATCCGACAAATCATTGCGGATATCGACCGTTGTAGTGTGTTTGATTCATCCATGTTGCCATACCTTCCGTATGACAACGTATCATACTGGTTTACATATTTGTCCAAGTTGGCATACCTTCTGTATCCAACTAATAGTATGCTTTTACTCAAGTTACAATACATTCAGTATGTAACTTTACACCCTCACTTTATTGAGGTATGTTGTCCGCACTGCTCCGAGATAGTAAGCGTGCATTATGCTTACTAAGCGTTTTCCCACGCTCACTTTATTCTTCATTTACCTTAAGTTAATTTTTGTAAGATAATATTATTGCAGTTCTAATTTGAATAAAGTATGGGGAAGTCGCATTTTGCGGCTTCCCCAACAAAACCAGAAGAGTTTTCATTTCATGGCGATCCTGCCAAACAAAAAAAAAAACTTTAAAATCTACAAAAGTGGTGCACCGTGTATAATGTGATTTCGGATAATCTATATATATTAAACGCTTAAACTATGGACCAGCAACACAGACCGTGCCAGCTCGTAAATTATAAATAGAAAAAAGAAAGAAAAATGCCTCGGGTTTGCTAAAAAAAAGACAAAGAAACAATTGATTTGATTAATGATCCTTGTTTAAGTATCAATCGAAAAAGGATTTAACAACAACAACAACTATATGTGAAATTCAAACAAACAAACCAAAAAAAAAATGATTTACAAAAAGATGAATGCCAAAAAAGAAAAGAAAAAAAAAATGAATCATTTGAATATGAGAAAGCAGAAGAAAACTTTGCTCAGATAATATCAAACAAAACATAAAAAAAAATCTTCAAAAAACAACGAGAAAAAAAAACCTAAAAACAACACAAGGAAAAAATAAGAAAAAAAAACGATTTTTTTTGCTAGTTGAAACAAGATAAAAAATTGAAAAAAAAGTAAATTCAAACACAAAATAAACAACTTTAAAAAATCCACAAAAAATCGTAATATGCCATTTAAAAAATAACTTAAAAATGGAAGCAAAAACCAATACAAGGTTAAAATATAATTTTTTTAATACAACAAACAAAAAAAGAAAAACATTGACATAATAAAACAAAAGCTGCATGTGACTGATTCTGACAGTCTCTATTGTGAACAACAACTATCAGCGAAACACCACATAAACAAACGGGGTCTTGAGATTTCCGAATACACGTATGTGCAGAAACCAGTAATGAATGAAAAGTTAAAAGAGAACAAAAAGGAGCTGTGCACTTTCACTCTCGCAATCTCGTGCCTCTCATCGAGAAAGAAATTAATCCAAAGAGAAAGAAATTAATCCAAAAAGAAATTAATCCAAAAAAAAGCAGAAGAAAGGATGAAATTGGCGAAGGAAGAACAGTGAAAAAGTAGAGAAAAGGAAAGCGTTCGTCTTCATATTCCATATATTGCAGATAATTTTTACAAACAAATACCATAATGCCAGAAATTCGCAAATGCTGTATTGTGGGATGCCTGTCGAGTTCTCGAAGAAATACACCAACGATGTGAAAATCTATGTCTAAGAAAATAAACAAAACAAACAAGCAACTACAATAACAGGTAACCCCCTTTTGTTTTTAAGAAGTGCAACAAGGATAATATCGACCACCCACACTAGCAGAAAAATAATGTCCCCTTAAAATTATTATTGTTAAATATTAACTTAACACAACAGCAATACAGATTTTAGTTCTAGCATTAACCAAAAAACTGCAACAACAACCCCTATACATTATTAAATGCAAATAATTAAAACAAAACACTTATATTTATATAATATATACCACGACAACAAAGGCAAACTATATAAAAAAAAAAACAACATTTAAATATTTATTGTTTCCATTCTGTTTTTGTTTACATGCAATATTTTTGGCGGTGCCTCCGAATTTGATAACATATAATCGGGGATACTTGAATTGATTGATTACATTCAGACAAATTCAACTCAAACATAAATATCATCAAATCTATAAAATCTTTATCAGCTTGGTTTTACATTGTTAAACAATGGGTGGCTCAGAATCTAAAATAGACAAACCGAATGCCAATGTAGTAAATGACATTGTGCTTAAGGTTGAGCATCCTACTATTTACTTTATTATAATTATCGCTTTACTAGCCGCGCAACTACTGGTAACTCTTTACCAGTTGCATAAAAGGGCATTGCGAAAATATTATATCAGGGCTGCTTCAGTCGGAAACGGTCTTGATAAGGTTTAACGACCAAAAGAAAGAAAGACCAAACACAAAAAGATAAAAAATTAACAAGCGTGTCAGACATTCCTAGGGTCTACGAAACACTAAATGCAAAGGAGGTAAGGAAAAGTGTTCGCCTAAAGTTTTTTCTCTCTGGTACAACTCCAAAGTGTATCCTTAAATATGGGAGAAAAACTTTAGAAAATGTAAAGATTGATGACCTTATTGCTAATGGAAGCTTTGATCTAAGTCAATTCATTCCTAGGTTGGAAAAAATAACCGGTAATAAGGGAATATTCAAATTACAACTCTCATTAAATGAGGATTTATTCAATATGATTCGAATCAATGATTTCAAAAACTGTGCGAACCAGTTATTAAAGAAACTAACAATAGCGTTAACGCCAAAATTAGAGAAAATATCTGCTGACGAGCAGAAAAGAAAACTCCTACAAACGTATCATAATGACCCATTATACGGAGGTCACCCTGGCATCAAAAGAATGTCAGAAAAACTCCGCAATAAATATCGTTGGAAAGGAATGTCTAAAGACATCAAAAACTATGTTAAAAATTGCAGTAAATGCCAAGAGAACAAGTCCCTTAAAAGGACGAAAGAACCTATGTGTATAACGGAAACGCCAGCAAGTGCCTTTGATATTCTCGTTATTGATACAATAGGCCCATTTATTAAGTCAAACAGCGGTAACGAATACGCAGTAACAATAATATGTGATCTCACCAAGTACCTGGTAACTATACCAGTACCCGATAAAACGGCAAAAACAATAGCTACGGCAATATTTGAAAACTTTGTACTTACATATGGACCAATGAGAAAAGTTTTAACTGACAGAGGAACTGAGTATAAAAACCAGACCCTGCAGGAACTTTTTAATATGTTGGATGTGAAACATGCTCCCTCAACAGCATACCACCATCAAACAGTTGGATCCATAGAAAGGTCACATAGGACATTTAATGAATATATTCGTTTTTATGTGTCATTAGAACGAACGGATTGGGACGAATGGCTTAAATATTTTACATACTGTTTTAATACTACTCCATCAACAATCCATGGTTATTGTCCGTATGAATTGGTTTTCGGCAAAATTCCAAATATCATTGATTCTATTGGTTTTAACACTGTAGATCCACTTTATAATGTTGACTCTTATGAAAAAGAAGTGAAGTACAGACTCCAAATGGCAAGACAACGAGCTGCCAAAATGATTACTCAATCAAAATTCTCCAATAAATTACAATATGACAAAACGGCTAATCCTTTACACGTACAAATAGGAGATTTAGTACTAGTAGAGAATAATGGCGGCCATAAATTGGAACAATTATTCAAAGGCCCCTATTCTGTCGAAAATATAGATTCTAATGGGAATTGCACGCTGTCATCGTCGGACAGAAAAAGTATTGAAGTACATAAAAACCGTTTAAAATTGTTCAATGCATTAAGCAATAACTTGAATTAAGAACAAAAATATTGAAAATATTGTTTTTTTTTAACTGCCTTTTAAATATAACTCTGCCTCTAAAATATACGTATATATAAATTTAGCATATACATACAATAAATTATAAAACTTACATAAAACATAGATAACTGGCCAGTACCTATGAAAATATAATAATATAATACATAGTAATAATATAAAAACATACATATATATAGTAATACATAGTAATAATATAAAAACATACATATATATAGTAATACATAGTAATAATATATAAACATACATATATAGCAATAATCTAAATCTACTTTAGATCATTTAACTTTTCAATTCGACTTAGTAAACTAATATATAAGAATACATCTATTAATTAATAAAAAAATATGTATATATGTAAAATAATGAAAAAAAAAACATATTAAATCACTTATATTAAAATTTAAGATCCCACAACAAAATTTTATAAAATTATATTTGAGTTTTACAAATCATAAATTATATTTTATAGATATCGTTTAAGTTCAAAAAAAAATTTTTTGCTATTTTTCGTT